CAATTTTGGGTTTTTTTCACAGCAATAATGTAATAAATTTTATAACATTTTTAGTGTAACAACATCCGAGCCCTAGTAATAAGTGATAAACTAAATACAAAAAATATTAGATATGTTCACCAATTGAAGTATTATACTAAAGACTAAACCCTAAGTAAATTAACGATTAAATCCCAAAAATTGTACATAGATGTTTGTTTAGATCTCTTATATTATAAGAAAACACATCACAACTTGATATTCCTACCACCACTTAGGAACAAAATTATTCTAAAAATATTTTTCATGACAAAATAATGAAAGGGAATAATACAAATGTATTTAAATAACAAGGCATAAAATCTCTAAAAAATGTATAAATTAGGTATTCTTAATAAGGACAATGAATGTAATTAATAAATGATTATGAAAATTAGTAAATAAAAAGAAATGTTTAAAAAAATACAAAAAACAGTRGTTAATCTTCTTCATCTTCATMATTTCCAAATTCTAACATTTTGTTTATTTTATTTGAAGCTGTTTTGAAATCAATTGATTGTTTTTTATTTTGTTTTTTGTTGAATTTCATTTCATCTTCCAGTGTAATTTTGGGAGGTTTGACTCTTTTTAAAGCTTTGGCCTCAATTGATTTACTCAGTGGAGTTGGTGGTTCACTAATGGCTAGAGATTTGGCTGTTGAATTCCATTGATAACTGAACAATGGAGGCGTCACACTCCTAGATTGATCATTACCTGACACTACACTTAATTTGCCCGGAGATGCCATAACATTATAATCACTTACATTRCCATAATCAGCATGGTCTACACAACCAAAAAGGTCCACTTCTGTCGATGAGCTGTTTGGGCAATGCACTTGTTTTGTTTTAGATTTATCTTCTTCCAACTTTTTATGTACAACACTATTCAAACCTTTATCACATTTTTTYGTCTTGGATCTGATTGTACTTATGCTTTTGTTTTTGCTTTTATTGAGTGAAATTTCTGAAGCTGATATTTTTTTTTTTTTAATTTCTTTAACGATGCTTACATGTTTTGTAACAGTTTTATTTTTAGGTACTTGTGGTGTTGTTTGTTTTATGGCTTTAAAATTTTCTTTAGATTTGGAAAGTAAACTTGTTTTAAGTATAGATTTGTCTGCACTATTATTGGTAGAGTTTATTTTAGGTTGTTGATTGGTATCATTTTTTGTCACAGATAAGTTTTCTAGTGTATTATTTTTTGATTTTGTACCACTGCTACTATAACTGTTTTCATTACTATTTTTTGTGTTATTTATTGAGGTTTGGTTGGTATGTTTTGTACTGTTATTACTTATCAATGTTTTTTCAGGTATTTTYGGCTTCAAAAATAGGTTTGTCTGTAATTTTAAAATAATGGAATAATTAGTGAACAAAACTATTAAAAATGTGTTAGACAAATAGTAGTTGTTTTGACTAGAAATAATTAAATAGGGATTTATAARATAAGATTTATTTACCCAAATATCAATAATATATTTGAAACATTCAATTGAGGGATGGCCACAGAAAAATACATAGCTCAAATCTTAGTACTCTAGTACAAATGTCTATGATAACCTTTGTCTAAGACGTTTCATATTTTTTGTCCAGAATWAAAATAAAAATTAATGACATATAATGATAATTTTAAATATTATATTATAACTGTATTTAATGTGTATTTTTAAAAACTTTTGCTGACTTTACAGTCTATTAAAAATGGTATATTATTTAAACCATAGCCAAACCTAATTTTAAAACAACTGAAATGGCTTTTGTCAAAATGGTTCTCGCCCCTACAATTATATTCATTCTTACATATTCAACAGGTTACAACCATCAGTTTTGTGCCTTACGTTTTTTTATATACTATTGAACCATTATTTTCAATTGGGGTGATATTTATAATCTTTAAACATTTTGTTTTTAGAAAATGTAAAATAATTATATGCATGCTTTTGATTAACATAATGTAATATTAATTGTTGTTTTTTAAACCTTAAGCTTAACTTAAAATTGATCAGGTGCCTTTATATCACAACATAAAGATGCACTAAGAAATGGATTTTAAAAACTGCATTTTAAAAAGATACTCACACAATGTTTTTGAAATTCAAGATGATAGATGCAAATTTAAAATTTAAAAAAAAGTTGTTGTACATTAAAATATATATTTTATTAACATTAATGTTTGTTTGTACAATCTGTTACATAATATATTTGATTTTGCCAATAATTGACAGGAATAAGATTTTGAGTTAATGACAACAAGCTACCTTGCAAGTAGCATTAGAGGAATACATCAGCAGTACACATATAACTAGTGAACCATAAATTATTAAAACATTATTATACATTTTATTTAGTTATAAAAACTAGTTAAATGTGGCGGGGACTCATGATTAATTCAGTAAAAAGATTAATACTGCGGTAACTATTTATGTTGTTATGCTGTTGCTATTACAGAAACTTAATTGATGTATGTTATATAAATGTATTAGTATAATTATACCTGTTCTTTTGACTGAGATTGTCTTTTTTTGTTTATATGGATAGAATCGTTAATATTATTCAGCTTTAGCCGTTTGTTTGGATTATTGCTTAGATTCTGACTTATCTTCTTTCTCAAAATTTSACTTGGAGTTTCAAACATAGTGGGTTGTTTTTTGGGTTTTTTTGGTGTGGATGCTAGTAACAATGGTGTATGTTCACAGAATYTACGATGTTTAATTTTTTTATGTTCAGTTTCTCCATATTCTGACAATTTTCTTTTTATATTTGTATTGTGATTTGCAAGAGTMATATTTTTACTATAAGTTGTTCCTTTTCTGGTCATACTTGCATCAAGATTYACAGCAGGTTTTATTGATCTRCCAATTGGACCTGCGGGGGAACTTATTGAAAAATCAAACATTTGTTTTGTTTTATTTTCAACCCCAGTTAGTTGTTTCACAATTTTTCTCCATGTCCGTGGAATGCCATTGTTAGATAAGCATGTTTGATATAGTTCGTTAGGTGATCCACCAATGATATTGCCAACCAAACGGTATAGTCCATTTTTGGTTTTGACTAAGCTATTTTCTTTTCTGCCTTCTAAAATGCCAGCATCATGACGCTTTTCTACAACTGTCTGCTTATCTTCAYCCAACAAATTTCCTAAAATACAAATAATTTTGKTTAAATTATATTAAGAAATTATAAATACAKCWAATAAAATAATATATTAAATTACCAGTTAGAATTAAAACATATTTTGAAATATTTGATTGTTCAGATGATTTGATTAGTTTCATATTTAAAGACCACATGGATAAGAATTTTTCAACATTTTCTAATACACWTAATTGATTATYATGATGTTGACTTGCATTACTCTTTTGTGCGGTYTCATTTTTATTTTCTGTTAATCCAACAATAATTTTGAATCCAACACCTTCAAGAAGTGATTCTATTGAATTATTATCATCATTTTTGTTTTCATTTTTATGCGATTCAGATATTGAATTATTTTCTTCAAATGTTACATCAGAATATGTATTACGAGCAGTTGGTTGATTTATTGATAAAGATKTAGATTGTTGAGGAATTTTATGAGTATCATCTTTTTCAACAGTWACATTATTATTTTSGCTTACTTTAATAACTGTGGAACTTGTAGAAGGTGACTCATGAGATATACAATTTGACTGTTCAATACRAGATAATACCACTCTAGGTTGAATACAATCTGGTGGTTTAAATGGATTTGAATGTTCGATAGGTTCAATGGAATGAAAATTGTTTTCTGGTAACCTCARTGCACTATGGTCGTTAGAGCTAACCATAGACATAGTTGTTGGTGGTCTATAATTAAAACTTGTAGATGGCCTGTAATTGAAACTTGCTGATGGCCTAGAGTAAAGTGGAGCAATATGTGATGAATTGGCAATCCGAGAGACATTAGAACCAGTACGATGCCCATCAATTATAATACGTTTTACACGTTTTAAAAACATATTAAATTCAATATCAAATTTACGATAAGGATGCACCTTCAAAAAATCATTCAATATACTGTGAAGTGCAATAGTTTTCTCCTCTATAATGTCTTGAAAAAGCAATGCTTCTGATTGAGAGGGATAAATTGGAGGTGCCATMGGCATTTTAAATGTTGAATCAGTTGAACTTGTTTGGTTGTTCATCTTGAATTGGTATAACTAAAAAATAAAAACAGTTAAACAAGTTAAATTAATCAAAAATAAAATATATCTACTGTATAAACTATATGTATAGACATTTGGGGATTATCTGTTAATTTTTTATTAGATTAATCTAAGAAAATCAATTTAGTCAAAAATCAGTTTTGTTTAAAATTTCCTGTTTTCCTAAATAGTGTTATTTTTCTCAATTATTTAGAAAAGTACTGTAGATTTGAATGTTGATTTCTTAACTAACAAGATTTACTTTCCTATCAGAAAAGATATTAAAGTTGAAAATCAGTGTTTTTATACTAAACATTTTGTATACACACACAAAAAAAAAGAACAAAATAAATACATCATTATAAAATTATTACATTCATCACTCCATTTAGAATCTATAATGGCTATGATAAAATGTCTTCAGATATAAGTTATTCTGGGATTATTCTTACAGTAATTGAAAAATATCAAAAACAAGCACATAGTCACAATTTCTTTATAAATCTACTTAATGACTAGGATAAGGAAAAATCTCCTATACAGCAGTTATTTCCACAAAAGCATTCTTTAAATAGTTAGAAAAAAATTCAGCCTTAGTTATTTACTAAAAATCTGGAGGCACCCTATGGCTTAATTTTGCAGCACCCTCAATTTAAGTTGATGGCATTCTTGTTGGGAATCTCTGATCGAACTCCACTGAACAATGCACGACAATGCAGTTTATTTTCATTAATTTATCTTTATGAATAATTAAAATGCATTATGAAGTTAAATATTATTATTATTAATTAAAATAACAGATTGACTGCCGTGTAGGGTGAATTAACCCAACATAGACGTTGACGAGATTGCGGTCATCATTTCCATGAATTCTTATATTTTGATTTTTGATTTAAAAAAAAAATGTAAGTTTTACAAAAAAATTTGCTCGGACTATATTTAATTTCATAGAAATTCCAAGGAGGCCAGAATTGACAATGTATTGTCAGAACCCTACACGGCCTAGATATAAATTTAAACTGTAGGATCTAAATACCCTACAAAGCCTTACAGTAAAATATACAGTAGGGTTATTAGATCCCAMTCGGCGACAATATTAAATCACGTAGTTTAAGCAAGGCAGTAACGCTCACAATATTATAAGATATAAATGAATAACTTACAAATTATAATTAAGCAGTAACAGACTTAATAGTTAATAGTATCAATAATTATAAATTACATTCGAACTATCTATATTATTGTAATATAAATTCCATGTTCAGCTATCAATTATTATTCTTGARGAAAATAAACTTACTTCTTAATTATAGAACTGTGATGGTCGCGAGTCGTGACTGAATCAAACCGAACGAATCTATCATCTATGCTCCCCAGCTGTCGAGTGTCGACTGTGGACTGTGGAGACTGGAGGGTCGAGTACTCGAGTGAGTACTGAGTAGTGACAGCAGTAGCAGTGGCTAGTGACGCCGTGACGACTAACGGCCGACCGGCATTTATTAATAATTGTACATAATATCACATACTGTTCTATGATAATATGGCTGTATGCCCGTCAGGGTGACCAGATAGTGTAAATGGTAACGACCACAATTTAAGATATACCTTATGTCCAAAAAAAAACTTCGGAGAAGTAAAAAAAGTCTTATGTGCTTTACTTAAATGGATTGGAGTTATAATATATTACTTGGTAAATAATTTCATAGAGTTCTTTAGATGATACAAGTAAATAACCACAATTTTTCAGTTCCAGTAATTTTTCTCTGTCTTGTACTTCATGATCAACTGGGGCACACAACATGGTGTAACATTCCTGACAACATTTGGCATGTTTTACCACAGAACTTGGTTTTACTTTGATTTTAACTTTGGTTTTACTCTTCTCATCTTCTTTACAACCACGATGTAGAGAAGACACCACTTGTAAATTCCGGTCGCAAATAAGCAAATTATCTCGGCAGTTTGGTGTCTCCGGCAGGTTGCGCCACCATTCGCCCGAAGGCCGGTTTTTATATTGTGAATTTGTGAATACATTGTTTTTAATGTAAAATATCAAAAATTATAAACATTTTGTCGTTTTTTATATTATTATTTCAATATTTTAAACAATAACCACGTAAGAATTATTTTAAAGTAATTATTCTATTCAATTAGGTAACATTTAAAATAGTATCGATTAAGGAAGTTTTCTGGGAAGTTTTATTATATAGTTATATATTTTAACAATGTTATGTAGGTACACAATTAGGTACAAGAGTTTGGACTGCTTTGCTAAATTTTTTTGTTTTTTATTTTTTTCTAGTTTTGCGTTTTCTGCATCACATACAAAAAACATTCTTGATTGTAAATATTTTGGAAGACCTGGAAACTACTAACTTTTAAAATACTAACTTTTCTGTGTAGTCTTCTATTTAGGTCACTTTTCATTTTTAGATAAGAAGCAATAATTTTTACTCTTGGTTTTTTTTGTATATTTTCTTTGATTTTTTCTTCTTAATTCCCTACAATTAATAAACCTTATCTTTCTTTTGGAATTCATTGGCAATGACAGATTTTGTTTTACATAACCAATACATTTAGGAGATAGAAGGCCGTTATCAGTATATACAGCGCAAGGAATTAATTCATCAATATTTTGTACTAGTTTTTGGAGATCTAAGTTACATTTAATTTCTGGAAATACGACTAGCTTTTTTGAAATATGTACTATAGGTATACAATTTTTAGTAAATAATATAGTTTTATCACAGTTTTATTTAATTTCAAATTTAAATGAGCAAGTATAGTTTTTCCTGGAGAAGTGAATCCCCCACGGTGCCTGGAAGAGGAATAGTAGAGGCCTCTCGGTGCAAAATTCTGATGTTTTATTCAGTTTCACTTATATCTATTGAGATATATTCATAATCTAATACAATATTCTCATCATTTTTTTCTTTTTTTGTAGGATTTATCAAACGTGATTTTGGTGCTGGACATTTTTTTATTGCTTTAGTTAAATACTTCGGAAAGACTTGGAAAAATTGTAGGGATTGTCTCTGCCTCTCTTTTTAAGGTTGGAGTAGTTCTTTCTAGTTTTTCTTTAACTTCTTCAGTAATTTTGAACTCATAATATTAATCATGCTATTGGCCTCAAAGTGTATTTCACAAACATAATCTTTTTCACTTAATAATTTATCATCACGGGGAATATGTTTGTTCCAAACCGCCAGAGATTGTTTATCCTAAAGTAAAATTAAATAATTTGAAAACTTAATTGTAATATATATATATATATATTTATTGAGTTTTGCAGTTATAGAAACTTAATCATTTATCTTTTTTATTAATTGAATTATGGTCCTTGTAAATACTAAATATAAAATCAACTAAGTTGTTTTTATTTAATAGTAAACAGTATTCACTTTTTTTAGGTCAGAATTTATTTATTTTAGAATATAAAAAATTCAGCCTATTTATATTATGTATATAACTATACAATTATATTTACCACATATTTTAAAAGAACAAATTTAGGATTGAAATGAGCATAGGTGTAACTAGACTTCTAAGTTAGGGGGGCTTCAGCCTTAGTATTTTTAAAATATTAAGTAAATTACATGGGGGCTTTGCCCTCCATACATGTTACATTTATTACTAATGTAATAATATTATATTTTATTATTAAAATGTGTGTATAACACTTACCAAAAGTGGAATGAGGAGATTAATATTAAATTATTTATTATGCTATTATTGATATTTTAGTTAGGCACAAATTCAAGTTTTTGCATTTTTTATGATGTCAATGAAAGTTATAGAATTGATACCGGTAGCATAATAATAATACACTAGTCATTACAGTTTAAGCTTCTGCTCACCGCATGCTTGGCTTAACATATTTTCATATTCATTTGATAATGCTCATTCGGAGGTTCTTTGGTAGAAAAGAAAATTATATACATTTTTTCCTCAAATAAATCAATAGTAGGTATTAAGAATTATGACTTACCTTTGGTGCACGAAATAAAATAGGTGGTTTTTTATTTTTTAGTTTTAACTTTTTATTAAAACTGGCATAGCCAGTTTTGCATCCTGGCATAAAATATTTGTCAGGCATTTTAACGTTGTACATAATACAATTTAACAATCTACAGACAATTAATAGTAAGTCATAAGACTTATAAAAACAGACAATTAGGTACCTAAATAAGAATTAAAAATAGAATATTATCAAATTATAAGTATTATTAATTATTATTATGTGTATATTATTATTTTAATTGATAATATATTCAATTCTCTATTGTAGATCTATGTTCTCTACATCATACTTTATATTTAATTTTTTTTCTCATTTTATTATATGGATACCTACATAAATATAATTAAGATTTTTTGTTTGGGTATTTGGGTGTACCTATATTTGGGACTTGGGATAGTAGGTAGTAGCGGTATATTTGAGCTTTTATTAGCAGTTTGAACTAGTACCAGTATCTTATACCTATTGCACTAAATTGTACTTATTTACTAATTCTATTTTCTACGTATATATATCAATTAATAAATGAATATATAAATATACATTTTATTTAAATCAATATATTTGTGCGATATGGCTAAATACCATATACTATTATTACAATTTTTACATAATAATTTGTACACGATTCCACAACAATTGTGTATTTTAATAATCAATACAATATAACATAAACTATTATGTATTATGTTGGTATGCACATTATTTACATTTGAATAACAATTTATACACTTAAGACTTATACAATTTTAATTTTAAATATAAAATTATAAATAATCTACATTAGGACTCGTATAAAAATCGGCCTTCGTGCGAATGGTAGCGTACTCTGGTGATCAATACTGAACTACCAAACTGCCGTGATATTTTGCGTCAATATTGTACCATTGATAAGATATCATGAAAGATACGAGAGATAATTTCATTGTTCATTCCTTAGATCATATAAAACATATATGACATATGATTTATAATATGTCTATGGTTCATTCTCAAATCTAATTTGTAAATAAAAATGATTTGTATTTTAAAGCATGATAATTACAGTACATGGATGGGCGGAGGGTGGGTGCGCGATTAGTCTCAAAACCGGTAAATTGCTGACATACCTATTTAATGTATCATGTTTTAAAGTGTTACCGTGTAACTTAATAATATTTGGGTATAATAAATAAGTATTTTTTTAATAAATTCTTCTTTATCAAATTTCAAAGTTTCAAGTAATATTATTTATGATTAGGATTCTAAATAATAATAGTTTATTATGAAAAGCAAACTCTTTATCTCGAATTTTATTTTAACCACATTATTCAGTACTTCAGTGTAGCGAACACGCGAATAATACAAATATACAATTAAAAGTTATTAGTTATTACTTATTACTTTAGATTTGTCTACGAAATAATTTAAAATTTTTTAAAGATGAGAAGAAAACCAAATATTCTCATTACTGGTATGTTATTATGGTTAGGTTTTAAGTTTTGTTGAAGTTTACTAAATTACTCAACAAATTCTGATAAATAATTTGGTTATTTACATTGTAATTTAAGCTGTTTGAATATTTGTTCCGTTTAGGTACACCTGGTGTAGGGAAATCGAAACTGTGTGAAGAATTAATTCGAAATGGATTAGATATGGAATGGATTGAAGTTGGTCAAGTAGCTAAGCAGTGTAATTGTTATTCTGGATATGATGAGGAATTGGAATGCCACATCCTTAATGAAGATAAAGTAACTATTAATAGAGTGTTTATTGTATTGTTGATTTGTATGCACTTAATTATTTTAAAATTTTAAGGTATTGGACGAGTTAGAATCAAGAATGGAAGAAGGAGGTAAAATAATTGATTACCATGGTTGTGATTTCTTTCCTGAAAGATGGTTTGATGTAGTATTTGTATTGAGAACTAATAATACATTATTATATGATCGTCTTGAAAAAAGGTTGGTAACGTAGATTAAAGTAGGTCATTAACATAGAATTTGAAAACTTGGATTATATGAGAAAATATTAATTATTATATCCATGATAAAGTAAATCATACTAGAAAACATTCATTTGATGATCTATGCTCTCTGTAGTTATTACAAGTAGGAAAAAAGAATAATTTAAGTTTTAAGTGTTGATAAGAAACCTAATTTATATAAGATACTGAAGACAAAATTTTCTCTGCATTATTTTAATTTCATCAATACATACATTATAATCTAATTTTAATATCCATTGATTGTATGTTTTATATAACTTATTTTTGTATTGTGTTGTATTAATGATATCAAAAGAAATAAAATCCTGTAACATAGAATACAATATTGTCTTTTGTACTGTATACAAATTTGGTTTCTTAAGGGCCAGTTGTACCGTCTACGGTTAAACTTCGATCACGCTTAATCAGCTRATAACAGATATTTAACCGTGCAAATTCGGCCAATTAAACTCCGGTTAACTTTAATCAGAGACGGTATAACTGGCCCAAATAGTATGAATATAGACTGAATGGTATTTTTCACGCCTATAATGGTTGAAACTTTAAATTAGTATTTAAATATATTAATGGCTTAAAATGTTTAGTTTTTCTCAGTACCTATGTAGTTCATTAAAAGTACCTTTAAAAGCTGTGTGATGTCTTCTTAAGCTTAARTATAATTATCAATATTCGTTTGATAGTCCTGCCTAATATATGGAAACACTACTATATTCTGTCCAGCTAGAGAACATACAGTAGGTTGACAAAAATCAGATTTTCAGTTCATTTACGTTTGAACCCTGCAAAGTGACGTTTGCGTGAGAATTTCCAGAATCAGCGTGTTCTCTTGTTGGCCTAAGTATATATTTTGCTGATAACTGATGAGGCCAGATTAACTAATTTCGACTAGACTGTTACTAACTCAGTTTATATTACTCTAATAAATAAATTAAAAAATCAATTGATTATTTCTTATTTTAATTTTAATTTTAGAGGATACTCAAGTAAAAAGCTTCAAAATAATATAGAATGTGAAATATTCCAAACTTTACTTGAAGAAGCTATGGAATCATATGATAACAACATTGTAAATGAGTTACGCAATGAAACCTATGCAGATATGGAACGCAATATCACTCAAATAAATGCTTGGGTAAACCAATGGATTAAAGACAATGTTGATAAATAGAATTAAGTATATGTGTTTACTTGTTCATGCTAAAAACAAAAATTCTTTCTAAATTGACATACCTATTAAACTGTTATTTGATAAATAATTTAATTTTGATATTTTCTTTTAATTCTTATTTTATTACGTTAATATTGAAATTGGAAAAAAAAATCAATCACCAAATGTTTTAATATTTTAGTAACTAAAATATTGTGTTGATTAAACAAATACATACATTTTAAATAATATAAATTGTTTTTTAGACAATCAGAGGTGATAGATATAGGGAATAATTATTATTCTTGCTTTACTTTAACTTAATATGTAATATGACTATTGTGCTTGTATAATAATATTTTGTTGACATAACAGAAAAGTATAAAATAATATGTCCTTATGTTTGAAAACATATTATTCCTAGGTGTTACTGTTATTAATTATGTTATGGTTAGTAAAAAATACAAATTTTCTTTCTTTCAACTAGAACACAGGCAGTGTAAAGAAATTAATTTTGTAGTATTTTACTATTTTCTTATATTATTTATGTTCACCTACAAGTTTAATACTCATGCAGACATTCAGTCATGTATAGTAATGACCAAATATAAATTACAATACTATTTATTGATACAATGGATTCATGAAAGATAATTTGAATTTTGTAATGAAGTGTAACTTTTTTTGCCTCGATCCTCTTTACTTGATATGTTATTGCATGTTGTCCGCGATCTGTATTTGACTAAATCAAATGTTTATAGATTTTAAATTAAGATTACTGATTTGCTAAACACTTAATTACAGTTTTCAGCTTTAAACTTTAAATTCTGAGTGGAGTGATGAATGTTTTGATTTTACAACAATGATGTATGTTTTTGAATTTTTATTTTATGTCTGTATACATTAAAATAATKCTTTGATTTTTAACATCAGTATATTTTCCAGTAGGTAAGTGATTTTGGTTGTTGCATTCGGAATTTCAAAWTTAAAAATCAAAAACACTGGAATATAAATGTAACATAATAAAATATACCTAGGATATCAGACTTTTAAGGGGCAGTGGTCACACAAGTTGGCCACGATGTGCGCAGTCACCAGTTCATACCCGGCTTAGTGCAAAAAATATTCTGTAGAGTTTTCTGTAGTCTCTCCCCTGCCGTCGTTCTGGTTGGCTATACTGCCCCCCACCGGACCCACTCCACTGGGAGTAATGTCCACACACGTGTATATTCTCTTCTTAGAGAAGGTGGTACAAGAGTCACATACTCACGTGCACTCTACCCCTCCCAAAGTGAAACCAGACGTCGATGAAGACTTTGGGGTCGTTTCGATACAAAAACATGAAAAAAAAAAAAGGATATCAGACTGTCTTCGCTTATAATAGTTTTTCGTTTGCAATTATTTTACAACATTGAATTCACATTTAACACACACATTACAGTGACTTTTCTAGACACCTTATGCACAGCAGAGCATCACCAATTACTTTTACATGTGAAATGTGAAGATCATTAACGGCATTTGACATTTTAACCGATGCAAGCCAATTGCTTAATCTCTATGTAAATATAATAAATTCATTTGGGACAAAGGTGGTCAGCTTTTAATTTAAAGTGGTTATATATTTTTATGATCATGATATTAATATATTATTGTGATATAAGTAATTTATTTTACTATTAGGCATTGGTATTTGGTACTACAGTTGGCAGTGACATACTTAGACCGGAATTTTGGGTGGGGGGATCAAATACATTTTTTTTTTCATATTGGATGCCCTGACACCTGAACATAGCAAAAAATATCGAGAATGTATTTGTTTTATTATATTCAATTGACATTTCACCCTAAATTTCAGTTTTCTTATACTAAAAAATTCATTCTAAAATATCCGCAAGAGGGGTATCCCACTATTAGTATGTCACTGACAGCAGGTTAAATTCATTTTTGCTGAAAATATTGAATTTGAAAATGGCATTTTGTGTATAAATTTATAAAATATAATATGCTCTAAAAGTTTCAATTACTTTTGAATAATAAGTTTAAAATACAAAAAAAATAACTTAAATTGTATTATTCTTCGTTTAATTTTCTAATTTTCTAAATCGTAGTTTTAAAAACTTAGAATAGTTATTGGGCAGTGGATATTTAATACTTCTCAACTGCTAATATAACTATTTATGAAGAACCTTGTATTCAATTTTCAAGTAATTCGACCATACAATATTTTTTTTTTTTGACATTTTTATAGAAAAAAAAAATCGTAACTTCAAAACAAGTCAAAATATTTTAGCACGTATAGACAAAAATTTCAAGTACTTATAGTTAATCTTAATAGTTTTTGAATAATAACAAAATAAGAAAATCGTTCCATGAGTATTTATTAGATTTACAGGTAAATCTAAATGGAATAGTTAAATCACCTATATATTTTATAATGATCAGTTTTTTGTGTACGCTGAAGTATTATAAGTTGGTAAGTAACGATAAATTAATATTATTGAAGAACTCATTTTACAGATCATACATTTTAAAAACTAAAATGATTATTTAAAATAAAAATAAAAATTCTTGTATCTTTAAATAGTACCTATTTAGTAACTTGTATCTATAAATAAAATAAGAAAGTAAAGTATTTACTATCTAGTATATTTTTAAAAATTGTTGAATGTATCTTTTATCTAGATAGTAGATATATTTTAATTTTAAAATATTTGTGGATATGTCATAAAAGCTGTTAATGCCTATTATAAAATCTATTGATTCTTAGCTCTATTTTTTCACTTATTATTAAATATGCATTATTTTACTCAAAACAAAAATTAATTTCTACTTTTGTTTATTTATATACTTCTACCTTAAATATATAGTTTTGTTTAAAACATTAGTAAAAAATACAAAATATGCATAATACACAATATATGTTAAAAATTTAATTTAATTTAATAATGTTCCCACGGTTTTTCTGGTCTTTCTTGATCCCAAGGATTTGGTGATTTGTATCTTGGATCTTCTTCTAACCTTATACCATTCTTTAATAAATTTTCTAATAATGCCTCAAGCTGTAATTAAAATGTATAAATATAATCATTGATTCTAACTAAATAAAACTATCTAATGCTGTAAAATGAGACTTACTTTACTATTCGGCAAAACTTCATAGGAATTTATCATATCAGAAATACCACATTCTAAACAACGTTGTGCTAACACTTTGCCAATAGTTATGTATGCCATTTTATCTAAAGTGCTGCATAATAATATAAAATAGATAATCAGAACTAAATAAACCACAAATAATCAAATTTTACATAGCTACTTATAGATATTTTCATATTTTATTAAATAATATGAATAGTTAAAAAAAGCAATTAAAAAGTCAGTAGTAGTAGTAGAAATAGTAGAATGATATGAAAAATTGATATTAAAAAATGTGTATGGTTAATTTGTTACGAGTACAATCGCCAATAAACAATGTTTAGAAAGTAGGTATTTATAAGGAAAAAATAAAATATTTACCACATATTTTAACATTGAATTTACACAGGCACCTATTAGAAAAGTACACAAACCTGAAAAGCTGTTTGCGTATAGCCCATTCTGCAGTGGTTGCCATTACGGGAACCATACCTGTATGGTGCAAAACACTAGCAGTCACATGTCTTTTACTAGTTGTTACTTGTAGTCTGAGAAAAAAAATTCATAACACAAATATGATAACCGACAAAATGTTAGCATCTTGTGCACTTACTTATGCCAAAATTCACGACCAGGTTTTTCGAGATGGTAACCGGCTGGTTTGTAAGCGATTCGTAATTTCTCTAGATTTCTAGGGTTCCGATTATATACAAATGGAGCGTGGCCTGGGTCTTTAGATGCTGTGCTAAGACACCTTTTTATGTTTGTATTCGTTACACTAGATAAAATGTTTTTTGATTGCCGACCGACTAACATGTTTAAATTTTTTTTCTTTACTTAATAAACGAAATAGTTAGTGCTAGACTTTTGAAATTTGAATTGAAAATTCTTCATAAAATATMAATCCGGGTRTTCTCAAATGTTCTAAATATCATGATTCATGGTTAATTGGTTAAACGTAAATACTAATTGTAAATTTGTAAATATCATAGTTATATGATAAGATTGATAACAACAACACAAACGACAGACCACGATGTAGAGAAGAATATAAGGTGATAACACTCGGCATGGTAAAAAAAGACAAAAGTTACTGCTTACTTTTCACCGGCAATTTATAATTTTTATTACTTTGTTATTTGTTAATGTTTACTGAGGATTGTGGTAAATACTAAATAGTAAATAATCGAGGTTCGTGGCGTTTGTGCTCTGTTGGTAATTTGATTATTTGAGCTTTATGGAAGCTTAACGCTCAACGGAATTCGGTAATTGAAAATCTTACATTAATATTTATAGTTTCAACTTATATTATGCATTTCTGAGTTACCACTTGCCTAATGGTGATTGGTAACTTGTATTGTGTAATGACAACTAACTAGAATGAATAACGATATTTTGGTAATTGGTTTGTTGGTAGGTACTTCAAATTAGAAGTTTAAATCTTTGGCTAGAAATCTTGAATCTATTAATACCGATGTTACATAGGTTTTACATGTCCAGGACTACGAGATTATTTATTGTATGAAAAATACTGCAATATATTAATACCACTGTGTTATTATGCAATCTGACAATTCTGACAACGATCCAACAGACTCACAGGATTGTGAAGAAATTGTTGAGGAAACCTTGATTCATGTTGTCGTGGATAATGCTGATGAAATGTCTATTTTGAACCCAAATAGCAACGTCCGAGTGATAGCCATTGACTCTGATTCTCCAGCATTACAAATTGAAAACAAGGTACTTAGATGTTTACTTCATTTTTTTAAATTTGGCAGTAAGTTTTCATATCAAATTGATTACTATTTGATAAAGTYGTTAAAAAAATGAAGAATACATTTATATTTCAAATATAAATGGATAAAATTTATTTTACTTGGAAATATTCCACAAAAAAATTTAACTGATTGTCCTAGAATAGGCCCTAAGAACTAGTATTTTGTAAAATAACYATTCYATACCAACCTAGTAGATTAGATCTATGACTAAAAACATTAKATGACATATTTTAAACAAGATTAATTAATATATAGGTATATAATTTAATAGTTATTTAATATTTAATATAAAGCCAATGTAGACTGATGGCCTACAACTAAGGAACAAAACAAATCTTATGTGAAATTCAAACCATTAAAAAACTTAATCATTAATGAGTAAYTCTCCACTATATATCTTGTKCACACAGATTTAARTATAAAAACAGTTCATGCTGAAGCTGTTCTGCAAACGATTTTATAATTGACTTCCCTCCCATCGCAACAGCGGCGTGCTCAGCTTTTTCGAAAGGAGGGGAATATTCAGTTTTGACTTGTCACATACCCGTGGGGGACTTTGCCCCCCCCACATCCCCTTCCACTGGATTTATATTTTAATTAACGTTATCCCCCGGAACAACTTAGAATAACCATTTTAACCTTCAACTTTAAACTTCAAACTTTTTAATAAATTTAGACTTTCAAATTGAAATATTAATAAATAATTGTTTCCCATTCGTAAATACATAATATACATGTAAGTTTAATATATTATTTTAACTTTATAGTTTACTATATTATWTTTACTGTATATTAACTATATAATTTTTATTAACTAAAGGACAATTTCTATTTTGCTTGGCTTCTTGGCCATCTCATCTAACACTCYGTTTAGCAATTAGGAATGGGTAATGAGGTACAAATCACAATGTTATATAAATAATACAGGTAACATATTATTCAAAATTAATATTTTATAAAATGTTACTAAACATAATTATAGACCTTATACTAGTGCCTTAGTATACTAGTATCTAGGTCTATGAATTATATATACTTTATAATAATATGCATGACAAAATAATTGTTTATTTTGTCATGATAATATGTATGATAATATTTAACATAACTAAAAAATTTAATTTAATTAAAACTAATTAGGTAGGTACCTACACATTACACACTACATTTTTTTTCTGAGTAAACCAAAACTATCGAAGAATTATAAATTACGCATAACAAAAGTTCTTGGGGAGGATATGACACCCTCATCCCCCCTGTGAGCACGCCCTTGCATCGCAATCCCCTGATATTAGATCCATCTACTCGARCAACTCTGGGAATCTCCCACAGAGTTAGAAAAGAAATTGGTGTCGTGATTTAAATAATGAATAATTAAAAAAAAAATTAAAAAAAAAAATAGGTTGTCCTTTCACTGGATGTCTTTTTCCCTAGTCTCATGTTAATAAATTCTGTACTTATCAAATATTCTTATTGTACCCAAGGACACAGATTYTTCTTAAAATTAATAAGAAAATAAAATTATTAAAAACTCAATATTGTTGATTTCTGTTTTTAGATATTTCATTTTAATGAATGGAAATATATACCTGGAACTGCTATGTTTTTTGAGCGAAAAAACGAAGTAAAAAAAATTGATCCTCTGTATGATAATAGATGTGGAACTGTTTTACAATATGTTGGTTCTACTCGTAAATGTTTAGAAATGACAAAAAAAGATAATGCACAATAATCTAATTATTTTTTTASAGTTTAGAGTACTAAATTTGATATTTTTAATTTGAACTCCTACAAGACTACAGCGTAATTTAAATAATTTTGTTTATATTATCTGTTTTTTTTTATATATATTATTTGTAAATATTTTAACAAAAGTAATTTGTGACTTTCAACACATCATTTATYTTTTAGGTCACTACACTTTTTCCATTACACACTTATTGCATACACCATATTTGTTTTATTTTGTTATAAGTGTTGTGCTTCTTTTATCCACTTAGTAGTTAGTTGGATATAATGTTTTTTTTTTTTTTTTTTTAAATTGCATTATATTTATTTAGTTCAAAAATTTTTACAATTAAAGCTATAATATTACAAAAAAGTGTCATAATGGAGTTAACATACAAAAAAAAAACAGATAATTTAATTTCTGTACATCAGTTACTATATTATAAATTATAAAATATGATAAGAAACATATTATTTTAATCTTGATTTATATTTAGCATAATATTATGCTTACTGTTTATCAATAATATTGTATTCTCCCTATTATGTAATGTATTCTCCCTAATAATTATAATTAGTAATGACTTGAATTAAAATGTTGTACATCAATATTTTTATGAGGATGTCGCACCCGCATGTGTTGTATCCGTCTTACACATGTACGACATAGGAAATGTTCGTTCGCTAGTTTCAATAGGGTATTGTCAGTTTTGATATTAGAGTGAATCCACCTATTATTAAACTTTTAGGTAGCAACATTATCTGTGTTCTCTCGTTTGTTTTTTACAGTGAGTTATGAACATTTTAAAATATTCATAATTTACATACCCATAACTCACTTAAAAATTAAAATATCGTAAAAAAACCAACAAGAGAACACAGATAATGTTGCTATCTAAAAGTTTGATAATAGGCAAGCCTGGGCAAGTTAATGATAATTTTTAACTGAGTTAA